GAAGTGTAGAGATCCTAAAGTCCACAATTCAGGCCTGGTCCTTCCCTTCCTCCCACTGGGGGCCCTGATGGAGACGCGAGACCTGGAGACTTTACAGGTCATCCTGGATCAGTTGGATATGCTGCTTGGTCAGCAGGTTCACCTTGAAAATCCAGGGAAGAGACAGCCAGGGTCAGGGAATGTCACAAAAGCTGGACCACAGGCTTCTGATGGCACCAACCAGGAGGATTAGAGAGAACCAGGCCATTGCCGGGTCAACCTGGGAAGCTGCTTCCAAGAATGCAGGGATAGTTGAGGAGATGTACCTGCCTCTTCACATGAGTGCTAGAAGTGTGGACGAGCTTGGACTCAAGGAGAAGATGGTGGACAAAAGTAAAACAGAGAGAAGCTACTATTGACGATGAAAAGCACGGGTGAAGTCCAGGTCTGAGATTACACCTGTAATTCCAGCACTTCAGAAGCTGAGGCAGGAGTATCATGACTTTGCTGTGAACATGGGCTACAATGACCACAAAAATAAAGGAAAGAAGGGAGAAAGGGAAAGGAGAGAGAGAGAGAGAGAGAAAGAAAGAAAATCCAGGTTGGGTCCTTGCCTAAATTCTGAGGATCCTGTTCATCCATAGGAACTGGAAATTACAAGTGGTAGATTCGCAGAATGTACATCAGAGTTCTGGAAGATATGATCTGGAAACATGGCCAATGCGTCCTCACCAGAGGACAAAAGAAAGAAGCAAACAGAGCAGAATGGCTCCAGTATGGGGGCAAAGCAGCCCTTGAAAGTATTAGGAGACCTTGCCTCAGGCAAAACATACTGGATTCATTTCTTTTTTACCTCCTTCTGTGGAAGGAAAAACATTTACTATAGCTGCCCTGTAAGAAGTTGAAGATTTCAACAATTCATATCCAAAGCATCAGGAAGGTTCTGGAAATGCTGCAGCTGGACAGCATGCAGGAAGTTCAAGGGAATTACTCCTGGCAATTGTCCACGCTGGCTGACTTCAATCCTTACCTGGGCCAAAAGAGAAATCTCTGCAAACGATTTGTTTTCAACATCCACAGTTCTGCTCACAGGAACAAGAACTGGTCGCCCAATTCACCTCTCAGTTTTTCAATCCAGAAGCTTTCCCTGTACTCTTTCTCCTTCTTCAAACATCACCTGGGCCAGGTGTTCAGAGGAAGAGAATGGAGAGCTTGCCCTGCAGGCCCAAGGAGGCCTTGTCTTGTCACAGAAAATTTAGTGGGCATCCACTGTGTGCCAGCACTGGGGTTGCAACAGAGATAAGGACAATAGAACATCGGTACCTGAAGCCATGTTGCACATGATCACCATATGAGAGCAGAGGTCTGGGTGGCCTGGAAAGAACCTCCATGCCCGGAAATCAGTCGTCGGGGATCAGATCTAGGGAGGGTGGGCTGAGAGTTCCTGTTTATTCCCTGTCCCCCACCATGCTCTACAAATTCCAACACCTGACTACCTGGTCTCTCCTTGGGTGCCTGAAGACCTCCCTGGAGACCCTCTAAATGACTACCAGCTTGCAGAATCAGATTTGAAGCTTCAGCTTCAAGTGCCCAAGCATCAGCTGGCTCAAACTCCAACTTCAGCTGCCCTGAAGACCCTGGACTGGGAGAACTGTAGGGTCTAGGACCCCCCCATTGCCCTCCTGCCTGCCCAGAGTTGGTGTGCACAGCTCACCACATTCAACAACGTAAGAAACTCCATGTCTATAACTATCATGAGAACCTGCTGTGCCACACCATCCAGCTGGGCCACTTAAGCCTGCAGGTCTATGGTGCCCTGGAGGTCTATGGCACCCACTGCCACAGGAGACTGGGCAGGCTTCAGGGTGAGCTGATGATGATTGTGGAGCCATTGAAATGTCCCAGATCAGTCTGTTTCAGTACAATGCCTGGTCCCCTCCATGGCAACCAGGCACTATATGAATCTGTATCACAGGTGTAGCTCTGATTAGTGCAGACACTAAAAACTTTCTCCCGGACACTTGGGAACAGAAACCTTGGTGGAGGGGCTACAGGTGACCCTTGGAGGGGGTAATGTTCACCCAAAGAATTGATTAGATATTCGAGGACAACGGTCTTATACAGATTCGGAAATAGGAATTTAGTTTCTAGAGGTACAATCCTGCTTGAGAAGTACCCCAGGGCACTGCCCCTGCACACATGGTTGTAAAGAAATGGTCAGAAATAAAGAGATCACCTAGTGTCCTCCATGGTCACTCACCTAGAATCCAGTATAAACAGCAGAAATCATTGTCTGTTCTATGAGTTTTGGTCCCAGAACCTCACAGTATCCAATGAAATCCTTTTCGGGGGGCTGGGTCATGTCAATGAGAGATCCTCCCAGAGTATAGCCCTCCTCTCCTATCAATAAAGACCTCTTGCGAATTTGCACATCATCAAAGGATGAATAATAGGTGACCTTATCTGTGGGTGATTGGTCTTAAAGAAAAAACAGCTAAGTGACTGCTGCATGCTCAGGATTTAGGGGCTGGAGGTATGGCAGGGCCTTGATGCAAAAGCCTTAGTTTGCCTTTCCATGACCATAATAATGCACATTCAGCTGAGGGGACATTTTAAGGAGCCGATGATGTGATGCACACATTAAATGCTCAATAAGTGGAGGGTATTTTTATTTCTTTTTAAAATTCATTAATTTTTTTTTCTTCACTATACTGGGCTTTTAACTCAGGGCCTCACACTTGCTAGTCAGGTGCTCTACTACCTGAGCCGCTCCACCGGCCTATTCTTTCCTTCTTTATCCTCCTAACAAAAACCTGCTCTTCACCATCCTGCACTGCAGTTCATCCTCTATTCCTGAGAAGTTCGAGGACAGCAGAGCCACAGGCTCACGATAGGATTTCACTTTTATCTGAAGACCAATGAGTCATGATTCATCCAAACAGTGGAGCTTTGACAGTCACAACACAGATTCCTCTTTAGTGAATATCATTCATAAAACTTTCAAGTGACCGGACTCACTCGCCATCTGTTGGTAGTTTAGCCCAAATGGAATAAGCACTGCTGCAAGAAGTTTCCACGTGCTTTTTAAAGCTGCTGTCAGGGCTGCAGGTGTCGCCCAGATGCCACAGCACATGCTGAGAAAGTACAAGGTTCTGAGTTCAAACCCCACATTGTCAAAAACTCTGCTATTAGGTAAATGCTATTTAGGAATGAATATTTGTGTTGTCATTTATATAAGTAGGCTTTAAAATTCCAAAGAAAGCTTAGTACTTTTAAAGATTGTAATATAATGTGAAAACAATGTTCCCAGCTTGCTGTCCAAAAACAAGTCAAAGCAGACCTTAAAAATCAGTGAGTGAGAACTGTCTTTTTTTTTTTTTTAAATGTTGGGAACAGTAAAATGTTAGGACAGAAACAAAGTACTGCACTTATTTTTTGACATGGACATGATTTTCCAGAACAGTTGTAGGATCAGTGACACTATGAAAAAGGTCCAGAGTTCCCATGAACTTCATGGCCCACACAGGCCCAGCCTTCCCCAGCATCAATGCCTGCACCACAGTGCTACAGCTGTTACAAGTAACACACCAAACTCCACACTTCACCTCAGGCTTGCTCTTGGTGCTGTGCATTCTGTGGGTGTGACAAGTGAAGAATGAGCTGTCCTCACCACTGTAGCTCACAAAGAGCAGTGTTATTGCCCTAAGGACCCTCTGTCCTCTGGCTACTCACCCTTCCCTCTCTATTCCTGGTGACCATTGTCCTTTTACTGTCTCTGTACTTTCAGTTTGTAGACTGTCCCACCTTATGCAGCATTTTCAGATTGTCTTTTTCACTTGGTCACATGCACTTTTCAAGGCCTGGTCACAGTCCATCATCTGGATGGCCTGCAGTGTGTGTATCCATTCAGCCATTGGCAGGAAGCTTATCTTTTTCAAGTTTTGTAATTACTTTGTAATTACAAAAACAGGTTTGTAATTAAACCTGTTACAGTAACAGGTTTACCTATCTGTGGAAATTCTAGGGAGATGGTTTCTGGATGGTGTGATAAGAATGTGATTTGTTTCTTTGGTAATCTATCCTGTTAGACAGATATTGTCCCACATAGGGCAGGAACTGTGTCCTGTCACCCTGTAGCCCACATCTGAGCACGGAGCCTGACACATGACATGGCAATCCTTTAGTCAGTTCACCGCTATGAAAATGCAAATTTGCAGACAGTCTGTATTAGCTGGCACACTCAATAATGTGCTGGGGTCAAGGATATAAAACAGCAATTCTTCTGTGGACCTCCTTTCTGGCTTGTTAGACTCAGTATCCCAGAGAGATTCTTTCAAGTGGTGCCTTTCACTCACCAGCTGGACGGTTTGACCATATAGTTTATTTCAGTCAGACATCACCTACCCTTGGGATCATTCGGCTCTTCAAGGATAGATGGATGGACGGTTTCACCTGCAGAAAGGCTTGTACTAACAGTAATAAAAATAACTCAAATACGCATTTCCCTAGCACTGGCTGCATCCTTCTGTAAGGATCCAGCAGTATGAGAACTCACAAAGAGTTCAGTAAGACTTTATAAACCAAACGGCACACACCTTGCCCCATCACACTCACTCTTTTGGAAAGTCTAATGGGTAAAAAATGTCCTAAAGGCAAAATGAGCTAAACAAAGAGCTGATGCATGGCTTTGGCCAAGTTTTACAATTGGCCTTAGTGACATTAGAGCCCCTCCTGTAATTAAAAAAAAAAAAAAAAAAAAAAACACAAGTTGACTCCTTATGAAACAATTCCTGAAGGCCTATGCCTGTGACAATAGCCAACCTTAACTGAAATGTAAACATTTAAGGAATTGACTCCAAACTCATTAAATAAATGAATGAATAAATAAATAAATGGGGAAGGGTGACGAGCGAGCCTGCTGGACGGTTGCCTGCGCGCGGCTGATGAGGTCAGCCCAGGCACGCGCCCAACTGGCAGGTAGTTTTTGGGCCTGGAGTCCTTGCCAGCGGCTAGGGGCGGCCATGGCAGCTTCGGGGGACCACAAGGGGTGGATGGGAAGGGTCCTCAAGGGGTGGAGGATGGGATGGGGCCGGCTGTGGCGCACAGAGGCACAGCCAAACCTGCTCTCTGGCAGCCAGGCTCCCCTAATCCAACGGGTCGCTTGCCAGGCGCACGTCACCTTCCCAGGCAGCAGAGACCACAGTTCTGCCCTCTGTGGCGTGGCCTGTGGCTCCCAGGAGCAAATACCGCCCGACTTCGCGGAGAACCTGAGCAAGCTGAAGATCCTGGTGGCCCAGGTCCATGCTGAGGACCTCTGCATCGCCCCACGCGAGACTACACCGAAACCACTGAAGCCTCACCTCCCGCGTGTCACCTACATGCATATATGTGACACGGATGGCTTCAGCCTGAGCGTGTTTCTCCTGCAGAGAGATGCGCGCATCCCGCTGCATGACCACCCTGGCATGCACGGGGTGCTCAAGGTGCTCTATGGCACCATACGCATCAGCTGCATGGACCAGCTGGAAGTGGGTGGCGACCAGTGTCCAGGGGCCGAGTCTCAGCTCTTCCAGACACCACTGCAGCAGGAGGCCCTGAGGCCAGCAGTCTTTCGCTCACAGGCCGAGTACACCGAGGCCAGCGGCCCCTGCATCCTCACACCACACCTGGACAACCTGCACCAGATCGAGGCGGTGGACGGGCCTGCTGCATTCCTGGACATCCTGGCCCCGCCCTACAACACCGACCAAGGCCGGGAATGCCGCTATTACCGAGTGCTGGATCCCCTCAGGCCCAAGGAGGCCTCCAGCTCGGCCAGTGACCTGCCCAGAGAAGTGTGGCTCCTGGAGACCCCCAAGGATGCAGACTTCTGGGGTGAGGAAGAGCCCTATCCAGGTCCCAAGGTCCTTCTTTGAAGCTCCTGGGAACAGTGGGCCTAGCATGTGCCCCACCCTGATCAAGACTTGGCTGCCCTTGACCCACCACAGGGCATTCCCTGTCCACATCCTGCCTTGGATCAGCAGCTGCTTCCACTGAGGCCTTGGGAAGCCAGGGCCATTGGACAGAAGCCACCAGGAAGGGGAATGGGGGCAGGGTGGGCAGAAGCCAAGGCTGTTGGTGCTGCCACTGCCACCAGGGCTTTGATTTGGGGCAGTTGGGACCCTCTGAAGTGCTTCATCCTAAAGTCACAATGAAAACGGTCTTTCCCTTTCCCCATTCTATTCAAAAAACTTGTTTTCCATTCCTGCCCTTGACTTTCTGCCCTTATAGTTTTAACTTATTGACTGCACCAATAAATGACCCAGTGGTTTGAATTGTTTAGTTCAAGTTATTAGTAAAAACCAGGTTCCAAGAAATCAGCTACTTTTTTTTTTTTAATGGTATAGGGGTTTGCAAAGCAAGTGCTCTATGGATAGCACCACGCCTCCACCGCATTTTGTACTGGTTATTTTGGAGATGGGACTCGGGATCTATTTGCCAGATCTACCCTAGAACCTCAGTCCTCCCAATTTCAACCTCTCAAGTAGTTAGAATTACAGGCATGAAAAACCAGCACCTGCGATTGTTTATCTAAAGTCTGTTTTATCTGAAGTAAGATTAACTATCTTGCTCTCAGGATTCAATTTAATGAAAGGTCTTTCTATCCCTTCCCTTTGTCTGGGCATGTCCTTACTGGGGAAGTGAGTTTAGACAGCAGGTGATCCAGTCCTTTTAAAAAAAAAATTCATTGAGGCTACTCTACTGTAATCCTGGCTACTAGGGAGGCTGAGATCCAGAGGATCACTGTTCAAGGCCACCCTGAGCAAATAGTCCTCGAGACCCTGTCTCCAAAATAACCAGAGCAAAATGGACTGGAGGCGTGGTTCCACTGGTAGAGCGCCTGCTTTGCAGATACAAAGCCCCTAAGTTCAAACCCCAGTCCCACCAAAAAAAAAAAAAAATCATTTCAGAGTTTTTGTTGGAGAATTTAATCCATTTATGCTCAAGGCTACTGTTGAAAGGTAGATTTTTTTTTTCCTGTCCATTTCTTGTTGGTTTTCTGATTGTTTTATAGATCTTTTGTCCTTTTCATCATTTGCTTTCCTGGTTTGATGGTTTTCACTTGTGATAAGCTTTTTTTTTCAGTTTTTTTTTTCTTTTGGGCAGGATTAGAGTTTGAACTCAGAACCTATGCTTGCTAGACAAGTGCTATACTACTTGAGTCTCACTCTCAGCACTTGAGTGAGTTTTGAATCTTTGTTTTTATTTGTGGTTTTTGTTTTGGTGGTGCTGGGTCTCAAGCATGCAAGGCAAGCACTTTGTCACCAAGCTAAGCCCTTGTTTTGTTCTTTTGTTGAGACAGGGTCTCACCATGTAGCCCAGGCTGGCCTTGATTATGCATTCCTTCTGCCTCTGCCTCCAGACTGCTGGGATGACAGGCATGTATCACCAACTTCAGATGATGCAATAAGCATTAATTTTAAATTTGTGTATATGCCACCATTTTCCTTTTGTGGCTCCTCTGAGACTTACATAAAAAGTATAAAAGGCTGTTCTGAGCAGATAACTGAACTTTGGTTACAGAAGCACTGACTTTCACCTTTCCTTACAATGTGCATTTTAGTGGGGTTCTCTGAGCTTTGTGGGTCTGTTACCCTGACTACTGCCTAGGTGATTTGGTCCTGTTTATCTTTGAGGACAGAAGACCTGAAGGCCAGAATTTCCTCTCCATGTTGGGTAGCTGAAACTGTGTGGATGGGAGAAGGTTGCCAGAGTGCCATCCAGACAACCTGGAGCTTCACATTAACAATGTGCGTGCTCCAAAGATCAGTCCAACAAACAATCTGCATGCTAAATGACAACCTCCAGTGACAGTTTACAGTTGCCATGGTGACATCTGGGACCAATGCTAAAAGAAGGAAAAATACATGGACCTGAATTCCTGGAAAATCCCCACCCATCCCAGGAAACATTCCTCCATTAGCAACCTTGCACTATTTCTCGTTCCATCTCCACATCACCAAAGACTGAGAAGTTGACTTCTCTCCTACTCCTTTTTGTTTGTTTTTTTGAGTCAGATCTTCCTATGTGGCAAGGCTGGCCTCAAATTCTCCTCCTTCCTGCATCTGCCTCCCATGTCCGGGGTTTACAGGCAACCTCCATCAGCCCAGCTTCGTGAAGCTTCTTCAGCTGTCTCATTGGCTCTGATCCTGCATGTGCCTCAGTGGCCCAAGATGCAGGGGTCTGTGTGCTCTTGTTTTTAAGTGGCTGGCTTAGAGTTTATACTGTAGGCCTTATCAAAGCCTGCCTTCAGCTGCGGGTCTCCCATGTCATGTGTCATGTGAGAACAGGTCTGCCTTCCCTGCCTGTTACTGCTCTTCATCTCACACAGAACCAGGTTTTCTTGTGATATCATCTCTCTTCCTTAGGGGAAGACGTCATTTCACATGGCATGTCACACAGTTCAGCAGTGAAGGACATCTCGCTGTTGGGACAGCTGGAAATGTCTTCCATCAAGCATTTTCTTCTTGGCCTCTCCAGGCTTCACACTGCTTCTCAGAAGGTGTCTGCTGCCATTTTTGTCTTTGTTCATTTGTACATTTCTTTCACCTTTTAAGTGGTCTTGGGGAATTGATCATCATGTGTGTTGATGTAGGTCACTCCACATTTCTTTCACTTGGGTGTGTTTGAGCTTCTTCCTTTATACTGTGTATGGAATGTGGATAAACATTTGTACACCTATGCAGTGAGATACTGAACAACACTAAGTAATGCAGTACTTATGTGTGCAATAAGATGGATGATCTCAGAGTCTTACATCAATGAAAGAAACCAGACAAGAGAAAAACATGTTCTATGAATCTATGTAAAACTCAAAACTGCAAACATACCTAAACATAAGAGAGTCATGGATACATGGCCATGGAGGTAGACAGGGGGCAAGAGAGACCTTTGGTGGAAAAGGAAGTCTTTTCTTCAGACAAGCACATCAGAATCTTTTTTATTCATTTATTCATACGTGCATACATTGTTTGGGCCATTTCTTCCCCCTGAGAGATTCCAAATGCTTCTACCAGTGTGACTGTCACCAATTGGTCCCCAGAGTGGGCCCCCATATCCATGTTTTTGGGTTGCGGGATCTCATCAGTGGTTCTGTCTATTTTGGGGGAGGGGAGACTGAGCACAAGGACCCTGAAGCTTTCGTACTGCGTTTTCCAGATTGGGAAGTGGAGGCCATGTGAGCAGCACAGCAAATTAAGAAGAGTTCTGAGCTTAAGGGAATCGATGTCAGAGTGGGAATCTGACATATCCTCAGGGCTGTCACAACTCTATGCACATTGAGGCCCCTGACCTGAGCTTTGAAATCAAGCTGCCCCTCCCTGTGATGGAGGTGGACCCACTCCCACCTCTGGATAGGATGCTCTATGCACCTCCCTCTGTGCTAGGTGTCTTCCAACTTCCATCTGATCACATGTTTGCAGTAACTCTATGTCTACCAGGAAGATGGAGCTCTTGGCCCTGGCCCCCAACTGGCAAGAACAGGACCAGGTCTCAAAGCTGTTTCTGACTCAGAACTCCATGTGCTTTTGCTCATGCCTGCTGCCTGCAGGCCCCAGGAAGAGCTGGAAAATGGGGGTTCTGGCATTGAGAGCATCTGATCTCAGCATCCTCATAGTTCTTGCAGGTGTTTGAAGGGGGAAGGCCTTGGTTAAGGCCTTAGGAAATCATTTTCAGATAATCTGAAGTGCTCTGGTTCTTTTTTTTGACACCTCTGCTCTTCAGAATGGACCGCTGAACATGACTGCACAAGCAGCAGGAATCTCTCTAAATTCGGATTAACTCAAATACTGGCTGTGATTTCACTGTGTGAACATGAAAAGTGTTCTCTGTTGCTGCCTCTCTACTGGTGCCTCCTTGTGATGATATGGGAAGAAGACTGTGGACATGGGTCCCTCTTATTAATGCTGGATTTGGTTCTTGGGGCAGCCAGACCTCCAGTTTAATTAGCTTCTCTTCTGGTTGGCAGATTTGGGCCTCAGCACATTGCTTGTTGATTATATTTTCCCAAATACTCCAGGAAAAGTTTTCCCGGATGTCTCAGAAGGCTTATGTGATGGAAAACATGTCCTGCCTCACTGTGGGGGTGCTGGACCAACCTAGGTTCCCGACTGCTCCATGGAGGCAGCCATTGTGAAGGTAATCCCAGCACAACCAGAGGTGGCATGGTGGGGGACATAGAAAAACGCCTTTGCTGCAGCCTTTCTGAGCCACACCACTGCCTGTCATCTTTCTCTTCTCATTAGTTTATGGGTAAGTTGGCCTTGGTCCAGGATTAATGCTGTGCCTTGGTGTATAGCTCCCTTGGGTGGGCAGGGTCCTAGGAGGCAACTGGGGAGAAGCAGCACAGAGCAGCGCCCAGCTGAGCAACGGTTTGTAGGACAGCTCACTGCTTCCCAGTGTGGTTTGTGCCAACTTTTTACTGGCTGGTTGGTGGTCTACAACAACAGGAGAAAACACAGGCATTATAACTTCACGTCCATGTAAAATGGCAGCTGGGCTCTCCTGGGAAGGAGTGTCTTTCTTTATGAGTTGATGGCCTTCTTACTTGTTGGTATCAGAGCATCATTTTGTAAAATCTTGGAAGAGGTAAAAGAAGGTTACTGATTGTAGGAACTCGGTGAGTGAAAGTGCCAGGTTAGCACTCAGTTGATATCTTGGTTTCCAGTTGAAATGTGGGCAAAATCCAGGGCTGGAAATGGTGCTTCCTCTCCATGGAGATTCTGGAAACACTGCAAGTATGAAACAACTTTTTGAGCCAAGATCTGGGGATGTGTCTGCACCCCTGTTCTTGAGGCTCTCTCAAATCATCCCCACGCAAAGTGGGCTGCTTCCTGTTCTGACATGAGGACCCTCCTTCCTTAACCTCTCAGAGTCT